CACATGAAGTACAATTGGCCTTTAGGCACTCTCTAAATAAAAACATATATAATATAACCTGTGTTTATAAGCAAATATCCGAATTTATAATTGAAAGTAACCTACTGACTGATTATCTGTCTGAGTTTTGTCCCAGTCACAGCACCACTACAACATTGCTTAAAGTTACTCAAGATATCGGAAATAGTATGGAAAACAGGAAAGTAACTGTATTTTTGCTTGTTGACTTTTATAATTCTTTAAACACGGTTGACCACGACACCCTACTAGCCATTCTTTCCCATTTAAGATTTGCACATTAAGCCTTAGAGTGACTTGCTACCTATCTTCGCGGGCCTTAGCAGTTGGTTCATGTAGGGCGTCCCGCAAGGCAGAATACTTTCTCGATAATTTTCTCAGTTTTTATAAACTTCATCAATTCTAATTTCAACGGTTGTTACCATCCGTATGCTGATGACCTACAAATGTACGTGCTGGCAACTATTGTTTAACACCATAATATCCATAACTTAAATACTGTTAGTGATTGGTCTAGATACTATGATGTCTCTGTCAACCCACAAAAATGTCAAGTAATTTCTTTGGGTAGTTCGAGAATGTTGGTTAGATAAGCCTATCAAATCTACCTTCGATCTATTACAATGACATCTAGATATCCTTCTCGGGTTCCGTGAAAAATCTAGGCCTGTACATGGACAGCACATTGAAATGGAACACATATGTTACTGAAATCAATCTTCGTCATCGTACGGTCTCTCTAACGTCTAAAGAATTTTCTACCTGTTAACACGAAGATCATTCTTGTGCAGTTATTGATTATGCAGCTGTTTGTTACCCAGATTTGAACCAGTATATTCTCAACAAGCTAGAGCGTCTCCTTAATAAATGCATTAGATACTTATAAGGGCTTCGAAAGTATGTTCATGTTTCTCTTTATCGTAATCACCTAAAATGGCTCACAGTCAAACAGAGGCGCAAATCTAGAATTCTGCTTGTTTTCTTTTCAATATTAAACAATTCAACTTCTCCTTTATATCATAAGGAAAATTTTAGATTTCTTTTTTCAACTCATGACAGAGTCCTACGGTCCTCGTCTAACCATAAAATATGTGTTGCGATTCATTTGATTGGCTTCTCCAGAATTTTTTTTTAAACGTTACCCCTACACTAAGATTTTCTCTTGTATCGTGGGGGCAGTTTACAAACATAAATTGCACAAGGACAAACATTCAGACCCGAAACAACTATATGTAGGCCATACAAATACTTGTTCCGTGCGAGATTCGAACCCGCGACCCCCAGCGCAGCCACTCATTGCTAAGCCACTGCGCCATGGAGTCGTCATTTCCTGTTCTATTTAGGCTACTCTACTCTGAAATTTATTACCCAAATGTATATAAAACGCTCCAAGCAAGTGCTTATTAGGAGAAATTAATTCGTGAACACCTTTTGAATTAAGATATAGTTTCATTATAAGAAAGTTACCATGGTATACAACACACATAAAACAACACGCGAGTGACAAGAGAGCACACAGTCCACCTGATGATAAGTGGATGCTGTGACCCATAAACGTCTACATCTATCCTCGATTATGAATCAAATTGCAGAGGCATTGTCCCCAGTGAGGATTAAGATGGAATTAAAATGTGAGGATTAAAATGGCCTCCTTTCCAGTAAAAAAGATTCTCCGGTTCTCTAAACTCATCATACGAATAACAGCGTCATTAAGCTTCTATTTTACGCTGGTATTCTGTGTGAGCATGGTCGTAATATAAGCTATCCTCGAAAGTATTTGTAAAATTTGTAAACGAAATATACCTTGTTAGGCAAAATTTTCGTATATTCAAAAATACATAAAAGCAATTCATCCTACAGCATTTGCGTAAAACTAAAAATAAGCTACGATCGCTGGTGAATTAAAGCTGTAAAAGCGAGTGAGTCGAATGCACATCTTTCACTGCGAGGGGAGCAGTCGTCACATTCAGTGCGCGTGTTTTACATTACCAAAAGTTTTTTTCTCTTATAAGTATTTAGGCACTTTTGATATATAATCCTTGCTTTTGTCTGCATCGTTGGTCTAGTGGTTATAGTAGTGTGATAGCTGATCGTGAGGTCCTGGGCTCGAATCCCAGTTCGGGACAAAAAATCAATTTACTGAGTTTTTCCGTGAATAAATTCTCAGTAGCTGCCCGGAGTCCGGAAGTTGACGGTGTCTCACCCTCGTGCCTCGGAAAGCACGTAAATCCGTTGGTTGGTGGTGGGTTTTCGCATATAATGTCAATGTCTTTGAAACATTCAATATTCGTAGACCTCCCAGTTACTAGTTACAGCCTACTAATGCAAGATTAGCATGTACTGGTTATGAGTTTAATACTTGGTCGATAAAAGAAAGATTTAAAATAGCAGCACTTTTCATTACCAATCTTTTAATAATCCTCCAAGCGCCATAAAAATCCCTAGCAGTCACATGCACCTGACAAATCTCGCACAGCGTGCGACACACACAGCACTTAAAACCATTAAAACTTATATTTAGAGACTACTTTTCTATGAAGAAGTTTAGCATTATAAAATCTATACAAAATTCTCTATCCTGGGTTTTAAACAAAAGTCAGGTTTTACTTCATTACAAAAAGATTTTATTGTATTTTGATAACAAAAAAAAAACGTACCAAGCAAATGTCGGCAGCGTGAAAAATCACAATTATTTCAATATATATTACTAGAAATTATTTAAGTAAAAACATAAATTATATTCACACAAAAACTTTCATTAAATTTTATAATAAAACACTATACTAAAAAACTAGAAAAAACGTTCACGTGAAAATGGCGTTCGAAATAAACGTAGATCATAAATAAATATTCATAAGATAACAATTTTTTTTTTATTGAACTTGGGGATAGAGTATTTTATATTGGTTATAAAATGCCAAACTTTTTCATAGAAAAGTAGTCTATATCTAGATATTTGTCCATATATATATATATATATATATATATATATATATATATATATATATATATATATATATATGTTAAAGTGCTGTGGTTGGTTGCGACCTCATGAGACCGCTAGGGGGGTGAGAGGTTAATAATGCCGTCGCATGTCAAATGTTTGTAAATAGCAAAAAAAAAATGTCCAACAAAAAATGGTAAGTAGGTAAATAGCATTTCGTTTCAGATTATTATTTTTGTCATTTCCATCTTTCCTTCCTACTTTTACGGTATTAGAACCGTCTAATATGATGTAGTTAAGTATGATTACATGTAAAATTTTATCTTGCATTATGATGAATTGATAAACACTTTCTAATAATAATTTTTATGCCTACCTTATATTGCAACATCTTGGCCTATTTAAAAGATCGAAATCAACTTTTTTGCAAACTACACTGATTGATATTTACAAAATTATACTACATTATTTACAAATAAAATTTACCTTTTTATCGATTCCGCAGTAATTGTTTTAAATGCTCACCGATTATTTCGAAACACAAACAAGCACGTCTTTGTAAATTGTTTGTTAAACTTACACTAACACTGTGTTTCTTCTATGTACACTAATCGTTTGAGTTCAGTCCACAAACAAAAGTCTAGAGGTTTTATGTCTGGTGATCTCGCCAGCCTGTTCACAGGTCATGGTAGGCCGTGACCTATCCACCTATGCGCACACAGATCGTTCGTAATGATCTGGACATCCGTCGGTATGGAAGTACATTCCTTGCAGATGACTCAAAGGAAAGTGTTCCAACATTGTATTGATAACGGAATATATTATTTGGAGTTATGTTCCAACAAGGGTAAATATTGATTCATCGCACCGTCAGTTTCAAGTTTTCATCAGACAAGACATATAATCTCGTCTTTTTTAGATACTTGACATTAGAGTATTGGTACATGTTTACGATACACACGCGGAAACGTAAACAATACGACGCCGACGCGACGTCACGTCACAGTTAATCATAAGTAACTGAAGAGTTAAGAGCGTGGGCGACTTTTTCGTTCAGCCTGTGGCCTTGTGAAGTGACAAGGTCAAATATGTTTACTAAATTTATTGTTTTATTGCCGTTCCTAAAGTAGGGTGGATATGATTCGATAGATTATAATTGATTTATTTATTTAATTTAAAAGCTTTGTTTTTAGTTTTTGTAAAATATCAGTATCATAGGCTTCTACTCTTTTCACCTATTACACCGTTTTTTTTCCAGAAGGTAAAAATAGTCATCCCGTTTATTATATTACTAAATAATATTCTTTATACCTAATAAATCGCAAATATTCTTTTTGCCGAATATCTTCCAAATCTGGTTCGCATTTAATGCGTGATTGAGAACATCCAATTATCATAATTTTTAACATGTATGATATGATTTAAGATTTGTAATAAAAGGACTTATATTACATTTTATAATATCTAACTTAAATGTAATTTATTTTTGAATTAAATTACATTCATATTAATAATAATAATAATAATAATAATAATAATAATAAAAATAATAAAAAGGCGTAGGGAAGTGACGACCCCATCGCCCGCTGACGTAACAGTTAAGTGACAAAACTGCTACGTCGGCGCAGTCAGTCAGCGCCTTGCCAAGAGGTGTGAGCGCCGTGCCTCGGCAAAGTACTCAGGGTGCAAAGGCCCGTTTGTGCTTACGGCCATACAATGAACAACAAAACGGTGCCGGGCCTGGGCGTCTCCCGCTAATTGGCGCCCAAAAATGGATGATGGATAAGAAAAATTGGAAAACGCATAGGGCCGCTGCCTGGGGGTCGCCGGGGCGCGTCTGGAGCTGGCGCTGGACGCGGCAGCATGCGGGCCGCAAGCCGAGCGCGAGGAGCTGCAAGATCACCTAGCAGCCCCCCGCATCCATCATCCCCACCAGACGGCTTGATGTCGGCAGGGTCCTCTCGGATTTCGGCAAGCGGCATCCGCCGCTGGTGGAGTGCGCCGCATGCGTTGGACAAGGGATATGAACGCAAACGCAATGCGGGCGTACTATAGGGCGAAAGGGGAAGAAACTGCGGGGATAGCGTATCGGGCTCGGATGCATTGCTTTTTTGCTGAGCTGGAGCCGTCTATCCCCGTCACGAAACAAAACCTGGCAGACCGAGTTCGGTACATCATGCGCTCGAAAATATTCGATGATGCCGAGCTCGAACGACTACGACGTGAGGCCATTCCCTCATCGAATGAATTGGCTACGGCTGGGGATGAGGCTCCTCAGGCGACAGACCAGCTGCCACGAGTAGAAGCCGCCATGGATCTTCCAGTTGTGGGTGATTCAGACGATGATGAAATGGTCTCCCACGAACTAGAGCAAATGAGGAGTATATTGGAAGAGGCGATTTTAGAAACGCGCAGCATGCCTCTCGAAAATCGACCGCGACTTCCCCGCATACCCCTAAGCAAGCGAAATCGGGCTGTCGTGAGGGCTCTTAACCCAATGCTGGTAACCTATTTGGAAGCCAGCCGGGACCTTTGCGAGACGGACTCAGTTCTTTTTGGCGCCGCAGTGGCAGCTTGCCGTATTATTGGCGCCAAACTTCCCATGGCTGGACGCGCTACTAAACAAAGTAGCGCCATCCCAGCCTGGAGAAAAAGAATTGAGGACCGTATCGCAAAGGCAAGGGCCCTTATCGGCAGACTGATAAGCTTCAGGTCGGGTAATAATAGACCGAGGGTTGTGCGCACCGTTAGAATGGCGTTTGCTGGGACAAATATCAGTTTGTCCCAGCCGGATATCACGCAGAAACTAACGGAGCGCATAGACGACCTGAAGCAAAAGATCGCCGCTTGGGGGAAGCGGATTCGCCGATTTACCGAGAGGTCAAGGCGGTTCAACCAGAATCGTCTCTTCCAGAGTGATCAGAAGAGGCTCTACAAATCATTGGAGCGACCAGAGGTATGTGGAGCGGGCCCAGGACCGGATCAGGCTAACACTGTCGCATTTTGGCGTGGCCTGTGGTCAGAGCCCGTAAACCACAGCGAGGGCCCTTGGACGGAAGTTGTGGCGAGTCAGTGTGCGAGTATTACGCCCATGGACCCCGTCATCATAACGCCGGATGACGTAGCTGAGGCGGTCCGTAGAGCCCCGAACTGGAAAAGTCCGGGACTCGACGGACTGCATCACTACTGGCTGAAGGGGTTCATGGTGTGTCACGCTGTGCTCGCCCGTCAGTTTCAAGAGGCTCTCAACCAGAAGTCGCTCCCTAGCCTCTTCACTACTGGGATCACTCATTTGGTTCCTAAAGACCAGGTTACCACAGACCCGAGCAAATACCGCCCCATTACGTGTCTACCCACCATATATAAGACACTGACATCCATTTTGAGCGCGAGAATCACTCGTCACCTGGAGCTAAACCAGGTGATGTCACGCGCTCAAAATGGATGTCGGGGCGGTGGTCGTGGAACTAAGGAACCACTCCTCATTGACGCGGTCATTGGCAAAGTGGTGAAACGCAACCGTCGGTACTTCTCCGCCGCCTGGATAGACTACAGAAAGGCATTCGACTCGGTGCCCCATACATGGCTAAAGAGAGTCCTCGAGCTGTACAAGATAGACTGTACAGTGAGAGACTTCCTCGAGCAGTGTATGGGGCAGTGGAGTACGATCCTTTGTCATCTGGGTGAGCGGATGATGGCTGCGGAGAACCACATAAGGATAAGAAGGGGTATCTTCCAGGGCGATTGTCTGAGTCCAATCTGGTTCTGCCTCTCCCTGAACCCTCTCAGTACCTTACTGGAGGGATCCGGGAGAGGATTTCAGCTACGGAAAGGAGGGACAAAAGTGACCCACCCTTTTCTATATGGATGACCTCAAGTTATTCGCCTCCAGTCGCTCCCATCTTGTGGAATTGCTAAAAATCACTTGTGAGTTTAGCAGTTCCATTGGAATGGAGCTGGGGACGGATAAGTGTGCGGTCCTCCATGTTGAGAGGGGAAGGGTTGCTAACTCTGAAGGCATAGATTTATCTATGCCCGTCAACTTAAGGACCCTTTCCGAGGCTGAAACATACCGATACCTGGGTATGTCACAGAACATCGGTATCGATGAAGCTGGTGTGAAACAGTCAGTTTGCGACGTGTTTTATGCACGCTTGACCAAAGTGCTTAATAGCCTTTTTGTCCGGTGTGAATAAGACACACGCATATAACGGTTGGGTCATGCCTGTCCTTATGTATACCTTTGGCATACTCAGGTGGACTCAGACTGAACTTAACGCCCTGGATAGAAAAGTCCGCACTACCATGACGTCCCATAGGATGCATCATCCGAGATCGTCGGTAATGAGGCTGTACTTGCCGCGAAAGCATGGTGGGCGTGGCTTTCTAAGCGCGCTCACTATGCATAATCGTGAAGTGTGCAGCCTCCGTCATTACTTCCTGGCGAGATCGGATGATCCATTCTATAATGACGTCATTTCTAGTGATAAAGGGCTTACCCCTCTATCCTTGGCCAACGAGCAATGGCAGGACCCAGCAGTGCTTAGCATTTCCGACCGGGAGACCGTATGGAAGGAGAAGGAGCTCCACGGGAGGTACTACAGGGCTCTACATGAGCCCTTCGTAGATACAGTCGCCTCCCTCAACTGGCTACGTTTCGGTGACCTCTTCGGGGGAAACCGAGGGTTTTGTCTGTGCAATACAGGATCAGGTTATTAAGACCAACAACTATCGGAGATACATCCTAAAGGATGGCACCGTCGACGTCTGTCGAGCTTGTCGCCACCCCGGGGAGTCACTTAGGCATGTCATCTCCGGTTGTTCGGCGCTTTCTAACTCTGAGTACTTGCACAGGCACAACCTAGTAGCCAGAATTCTACACCAGGAGCTCGCTCTGAAATACGGTCTCGTGGACCGGAAATTGCCGTATTACAAGTACTTGCCGGAAGCCGTGCTCGAAAATGACCGCGCCAGGCTCTACTGGGACCGGGCCATCATCACAGACAGGACTATTCTTGCAAATAAGCCTGATATTGTGCTGATGGACCGGGCACAGTCAAGGATATTTTTGGTCGACATTACCATTCCGTATGACGAGAACCTCGTGAAAGCCGAAACAGATAAGCAAACAAAATATCTGGACCTGGCTCACGAGGTGACCGACATGTGGGGTGGTCTGCCGACCGAAATTATTCCTGTAGTCGTCACTGCAAACGGGCTAATCCCAGTCAGCCTCTCGGGTCATCTGAGGCGACTGGGACTCCGTGACGGACCGCTCCGGGCTCAAATGCAGAAGGCAGTGGTCCTCGATACCGCCCGCATCGTCCGTCGGTTTCTTTCCCTTTCCCCCTAACCCTCGGCCGTTTGGTCTCCCCTGCCGAGGGCTTCCATCTGGTTGGATCTTTATTTATTTGTGTATTTTTTTGTATTTATTTTATTTTATTGATATTTATGTATATTTATCTTTTCATTTTAATTTATAATTATATATTTATAGAAACCAACCAGATGAGAAAACTATACAGATACCCCAAAAATAATAATAATAAGGCGTAGGGAAGTGACGACCCCATCGCCCGCTGACGAAACAGTTAAGTGACAAAACTGCTACGTCGGTGCAGTCAGTCAGCGCCTTGCCAAGAGGTGTGAGCGCCGTGCCTCGGCAGTACTCAGGGTGCAAAGGCCCGATTGTGCTTACGGCCGTACAATGATACAATGAAACGGTGCCGGGCCTGGGCGTCTCCCGTTAATTGGCGCCCAAAAATGGATGATGGATATGATTGGAAAACGTATAGGGCCGCTGCCTGGGGGTCGCCGGGGCGCGTCTGGAGCTGGCGCTGGACGCGGCAGCATGCGGGCCGCCAGCCGAGCGCGAGGAGCTGCAAGAACACCTAACAGCCCCCCGCATCCATCATCCCCACCAGACGGCTTGATGTCGGCAGGGTCCTCTCGGACTCGGCAAGCGGCATCCGCCGCTGGTGGAGTGCGCCGCATGCGTTGGACAAGGGATATGAACGCAAACGCATTGCGGGCGTACTATAGGGCGAAAGGGGAAGAAACTGCGGGGATAGCGTATCGGGCTCGGATGCATTGCTTTTTTGCTGAGCTGGAGCCGTCTATTCCCGTCACGGAACAAAACCTGGCAGACCGAGTTCGGTACATCATGCGCTCGAAAATATTCGATGATGCCGAGCTCGAACGACTACGACGTGAGGCCATTCCCTCATCGAATGAATTGGCTACGGCTGGGGATGCGGCTCCTCAGGCGACAGACCAGCTGCCACGCGTAGAAGCCGCCATGGATCTTCCAGTTGTGGTTGATTCAGACGATGATGAAATGGTCTCCCACGAACTAGAGCAAATGAGGAGTATATTGGAAGAGGCGATTTTGGAAACGCGCAGCATGCCTCTCGAAAATCGACCGCGACTTCCCCGCATACCCCTAAGCAAGCGAAATCGGGCTGTCGTGAGGGCTCTTAACCCAATGCTGGTAACCTATTTGGAAGCCAGCCGGGACCTTTGCGAGACGGACTCAGTTCTTTTTGGCGCCGCAGTGGCAGCTTGCCGTATTATTGGCGCCAGACTTCCCATGGCTGGACGCGCTACTAAACAAAGTAGCGCCATCCCAGCCTGGAGAAAAAGAATTGAGGACCGTATCGCAAAGGCAAGGGCCCTTATCGGCAGACTGATAAGCTTCAGGTCGGGTAATAATAGACCGAGGGTTGTGCGCACCGTTAGAATGGCGTTTGCTGGGACAAATATCAGTTTGTCCCAGCCGGATATCACGCAGAAACTAACGGAGCGCATAGACGACCTGAAGCAAAAGATTGCTGCTTGGGGGAAGCGGATTCGCCGATTTACCGAGAGGTCAAGGCGGTTCAACCAGAATCGTCTCTTCCAGAGTGATCAGAAGAGGCTCTACAAATCATTGGAGCGACCAGAGGTATGTGGAGCGGGCCCAGGACCGGACCAGGCTAACACTGTCGCATTTTGGCGTGGCCTGTGGTCAGAGCCCGTAAACCACAGCGAGGGCCCTTGGACGGAAGTTGTGGCGAGTCAGTGTGCGAGTATTACGCCCATGGACCCCGTCATCATAACGCCGGATGACGTAGCTGAGGCGGTCCGTAGAGCCCCGAACTGGAAAAGTCCGGGACTCGACGGTCTGTTTCCAGTTCAGGGGTTCATGGTGTGTCACGCTGTGCTCGCCCGTCAGTTTCAAGAGGCTCTCAACCAGAAGTCGCTCCCTAGCCTCTTCACTACTGGGATCACTCATTTGGTTCCTAAAGACCAGGTTACCACAGACCCGAGCAAATACCGCCCCATTACGTGTCTACCCACCATATATAAGACACGGACATCCATTTTGAGCGCGAGAATCACTCGTCACCTGGAGCTAAATCAGATGATGTCACGCGCTCAAAATGGATGTCGGGGCGGTGGTCGTGGAACTAAGGAACCACTCCTCATTGACGCGGTCATTGGCAAAGTGGTGAAACGCAACCGTCGGAACTTCTCCGCCGCCTGGATAGACTACAGAAAGGCATTCGACTCGGTGCCCCATACATGGCTAAAGAGAGTCCTCGAGCTGTACAAGATAGACTGTACAGTGAGAGACTTCCTCGAGCAGTGTATGGGGCAGTGGAGTACGATCCTTTGTCATCTGGGTGAGCGGATGATGGCTGCGGAGAACCACATAAGGATAAGAAGGGGTATCTTCCAGGGCGATTGTCTGAGTCCAATCTGGTTCTGCCTCTCCCTGAACCCTCTCAGTACCTTACTGGAGGGATCCGGGAGGGGATTTCAGCTTCGAAAAGGAGGGACAAAAGTGACCCACCTTTTCTATATGGATGACCTTAAGTTATTCGCCTCCAGTCGCTCCCATCTTATGGCATTGCTAAACATCACTTGTGAATTTAGCAATTCCATTGGAATGGAGCTGGGGACGGATAAGTGTGCGGTCCTCCATGTTGAGAGGGGAAGGGTTGCTAACTCTGAGGGCATAGATTTATCTATGCCCGTCAACTTAAGGACCCTTTCCGAGGCTGAAACATACCGATACCTGGGTATGTCACAGAACATCGGTATCGATGAGGCTGGTATGAAACAGTCAGTTTGCGACGTGTTTTATGCACGCTTGACCAAAGTGCTTAATAGCCTTTTGTCCGGTGTGAATAAGACACACGCATATAACGGTTGGGTCATACCTGTCCTTATGTATACCTTTGGCATACTCAGGTGGACTCAGACTGAACTTAACGCCCTGGATAGAAAAGTCCGCACTACCATGACGTCCCATAGGATGCATCATCCGAGATCGTCGGTAATGAGGCTGTACTTGCCGCGAAAGCATGGTGGGCGTGGCTTTCTGAGCGCGCTCACTATGCATAATCGTGAAGTGTGCAGCCTCCGTGATTACTTCCTGGCGAGATCGGATGATCCATTCTATAATGACGTCATTTCTAGTGATAAAGGGCTTACCCCTCTATCCTTGGCCAACGAGCAATGGCAGGACCCAGCAGTGCTTAGCATTTCCTACCGGGAGACCGTTTGGAAGGAGAAGGAGCTCCACGGGAGGTACTACAGGGCTCTACATGAGCCCTTCGTAGATACAATCGCCTCCCTCAACTGGCTACGTTTCGGTGACCTCTTCGGGGAAACCGAGGGTTTTGTCTGTGCAATACAGGATCAGGTTATTAAGACCAACAACTATCGGAGATACATCCTAAAGGATGGCACCGTCGACGTCTGTCGAGCTTGTCGCCATCCCGGGGAGTCACTTAGGCATGTCATCTCCGGTTGTTCGGCGCTTTCTAACTCTGAGTACTTGCACAGGCACAACCTAGTAGCCAGAATTCTACACCAGGAGCTCGCTCTGAAATACGATCTCATAGACCGGAAATTGCCTTATTACAAGTACTTGCCGGAAGCCGTGCTCGAAAATGACCGCGCCAGGCTCTACTGGGACCGGGCCATCATCACAGACAGGACTATTCTTGCAAATAAGCCTGATATTGTGCTGATGGACCGGGCACAGTCAAGGATATTTTTGGTCGACATTACCATTCCGTATGACGAGAACCTCGTGAAAGCCGAAACAGATAAGCGAACAAAATATCTGGACCTGGCTCACGAGGTGACCGACATGTGGGGTGGTTGGCCGACCGAAATTATTCCTGTAGTCGTCTCTGCGAATGGGCTAATCCCAGTCAGCCTCTCGGGTCATCTGAGGCGACTGGGACTCCGTGACGGACCGCTCCTGGCTCAAATGCAGAAGGCAGTGGTCCTCGATACCGCCCGCATCGTCCGTCGGTTTCTTTCCCTTTCCCCCTAACCCTCGGCCGTTTGGTCTCCCCTGCCGAGGGCTTCCATCTGGTTGGATCTTTATTTATTTGTGTATTTTTTTTATTTATTTTATTTTATTGATATTTATGTATGTTTATCTTTTTATTTTAATTTATAATTATATATTTATAGAACCCAACCAGATGAGAAAACTATATTGATACCCCCACATAATAATAATATCAAATCAGGTGATGTCGCGCGCTCAAAATGGATGTCGGGGCGGCGGTCGTGGAACCAAGGAACCACTCCTCATTGACGCGGTCATTGGCAAAGTGGTGAAACGCAACCGTCGGAACTTCTCCGCCGCCTGGATAGACTACAGAAAGGCATTCGACTCGGTGCCCCATACATGGCTAAAGAGAGTCCTCGAACTGTACAAGATAGACTGTACAGTTAGAGACTTCCTCGAGCAGTGTATGGGGCAGTGGAGTACGATCCTTTGTCATCTGGGCGAGCGGATGATGGCTGCGGAGAACCACATAAGGATAAGAAGGGGTATCTTCCAGGGCGATTGTCTGAGTCCAATATGGTTCTGCCTCTCTCTGAACCCTCTCAGTACCTTACTGGAGGGCTCCGGGAGGGGATTTCAGCTACGGAAAGGAGGGACAAAAGTGACCCACCTTTTCTATATGGATGACCTCAAGTTATTCGCCTCCAGTCGCTCCCATCTTATGGAACTGCTAAACATCACTTGTGAATTTAGCAATTCCATTGGAATGGAGCAGGGGACGGATAAGTGTGCGGTCCTCCATGTTGAGAGGGGTAGGGTTGCTAACTCTGAAAGCATAGACTTATCTATGCCCGTCAACTTAAGGACCCTTTCCGAGGCTGAAACATACCGATACCTGGGTATGTCACAGAACATTGGTATCGATGAGGCTGGTATGAAACAGTCAGTTTGCGACGTGTTTTATGCACGCTTGACCAAAGTGCTTAACAGCCTTTTGTCCGGTGTGAATAAGACACAAGCATATAACGGCTGGGTCATGCCTGTCCTCATGTATACCTTTGGCATACTCAGGTGGACTCAGACTGAACTTAACGCCCTGGATAGAAAAGTCCGCACTACCATGACGTCCCACAGGATGCATCATCCGAGATCGTCGGTAATGAGGCTGTACTTGCCGCGAAAGCATGGTGGGCGTGGCTTCTTGAGCGCGCTCACCATGCATAATCGCGAAGTGTGCAGCCTCCGTAATTACTTCCTGGCGAGATCGGATGATCCATTCTATAAGGACGTCATTTCTTGTGATAAAGGACTTACCCCTCTATCCTTAGCCAACGAGCAATGGCAAGACCCGGCAGTGCAGACAATTTCCGACCGGGAGACCGTATGGAAGGAGAAGGAGCTCCACGGGAGGTTCTACAAGTCTCTACATGGGCCTTTCGTAGACACAGTAACCTCTCTCCACTGGCTACGCTTTGGTGACCTCTTCGGGGAAACCGAGGGTTTTGTCTGTGCAATACAGGATCAGGTTATTAAGACCAACAACTATCGGAGATACATCCTAAAGGATGGCACCATCGACATCTGTCGAGCTTGTCGCCATCCCGGTGAGTCACTTAGGCATGTCATCTCCGGTTGTTCGGCGCTTTCTAACTCTGAGTACTTGCACAGGCACAACCTAGTAGCCAGAATTCTACACCAGGAGCTCGCTCTGAAATACGATTTCGTGGATCGGAAGTTGCCGTATTACAAGTACTTGCCGGAAGCCGTGCTCGAAAATGATCGCGCCAGGCTCTATTGGGACCGGGCCATCATCACAGACAGGACTATTCTTGCGAATAAGCCTGATATTGTGCTGATGGACCGGGCACAGCCAAGGATATTTTTGGTCGATATTACCATTCCGTGTGACAAGAACCTCGTGAAAGCCGAAACAGATAAGCAAACAAAATATCTGGACCTTGCTCACGAGGTGACCGACATGTGGGGTGGTCTGCCGACCGAAATTATTCCTGTAGTCGTCTCTGCAAACGGGCTAATCCCAGTCAGCCTCTCGGGTCATCTGAGGCGGCTGGGACTACGTGGCGGACCGCTCCAGGCTCAAATGCAGAAGGCGGTGCTCCTCGATACCGCCCGCATCGTCCGCCGGTTTCTTTCCCTTTCCCCCTAACCCTCGGCCGTTTGGTCTCCCCTGCCGAGGGCTCCATCTGGTTGGGCTTTTATTTATTTATGTATTTTCATATTTATTTTATTTTATTGATATTTTTGTATGTTTATCTTTTCATTTTCGTTTATAATTATATATTTATACATCCCAACCAGATGAGAAAACTATATAGATACCCCACACATAATAATAGATGCGAATGGCGTAGGGAATTGACGACCCCATGGCCCGCTGAAGTAACAGTTAAGTGACAAACTGCTACGTCAACGCAGTCAGTCAGCGCCTTGCGAGAGGTGTGAGCGCCGTGCCTCGGCAGAATTCAGGGTGCAAAGGCTCGTTTGTGCTTATGGCCGTCCACGATATGGTGCCGGGCCTGGGCGTCTCCCATTAATGGACGCCCATATTATGGATGATGGAGAAAAAGATAGTGCGCAAAGGGCCGCTGCCTGGAGGTCGCCAGGGCGCGTCTGGAGCTGGCGCTGGACGCGTCAGCATGCGGGCCGCCAGCCGAGCGCGGGGTGTTGCAAGACCACCTAGCAGCCCCCGCATCCATCATCCCCACCAGAAGGCTTGGTGTCGGCTGGGTCTTCTCGGACTCAGCAAGCGGCACCCGCCGCTGGTGGAGCACGTCGCATGCGTTGGTCTAAATCAATGAATGAAAACGCACTGCGGGCGTATTTTAGGGCAAAAAGGGGAAGAAACTGGATGTTTGGCGTATCGGGCTCAGATGCATCGCTTTTTTGCAGAGCTGGAGCCATCTCTATCTGTCACTGAGCAAAACCTGGCAGACCGAGTTAGGTACATCCTGCGATCCAACATATTTGGTGATGCCGAACTCGAGCGACTACGACGTGAGGCTATTCCTTCATCGAATGGAAATGCTACGGCTGGGAGTGTGGCGCCACTAGATGCGCAACAAACTGCATATGTGGATGCTGCCGTCAACATTCCATTTGTGGCTAATTCAGACGATGATGGAATAGTCTCCCACGAACTAGAGAAAATGAGGAGCATATTGGAAGAGTCGATGCTGGAAACGCGCAGCATGCCTCTCGAAAATCGACCGCGACTTCCCCGCATACCCCTTAGCAAGCGAAATCGGGCTGTCGTGCGGGCTCTTAACCCAATGCTGGTGACCTATTTGGAAGCCAGCCGGGACCTTTGCGAGACGGATTCAATTCTTTTTGGCGCCGCACTGGCAGTATGCCGTATTATTGGCGCCAAACTTCCCGTGGCTGGACGTGCTACTCAAAAAAGTAGCGCCATCCCAGCCTGGAGAAAAAAGAATTGAGGACCGTATCGCAAAGGCAAGGGCCCTTATCGGCAGACTGACAAGCTTCAGGTCGGGTAATGATAGACCGAGGATTATGCGCACCGTTAGGATGGTGTTTGCTGGGACAAATATCAGTTTGTTCCAGCCGGATATCACGCAAAAACTAACGGAGCGTATAGATGACCTGAAGCAAAAAATCGCTGCTTGGGGGAAGCGGATTCGACGATTTAGCGAGAGATCAAGGCGGTTCAACCAGAATCGTCTCTTCCAGAGTGATCAGAAGAGGCTCTATAAATCATTGGAGCGACAAGAGGTATGTGGAGCGGGCCCAGGACCGGATCAGGCTGACACTGTCGCATTTTGGCGTGGCCTGTGGTCAGAGCCCGTAAACCACAGCGAGGGCCCTTGGATGGAAGTTGTGGCGAGCCAGAGTGCAAGCGTTACGCCTATGGACCCCGTCACCATAACGCCTGAAGACGTGGCTGAGGCGGCCCGTAGGGCCCCGAACTGAAAAAGTCCGGGGCTCGACGGGCTGCAACATTACTGGCTGAAGGGGTTCGTAGTGTGTCACGCTGTGCTCACCCGACAGTTTCAAGAGGCTCTCGATCAGAAGTCGCTCCCGAGCCTCTTCACTACTGGGATCACTCATTTGGTTCCTAAAGATCAGGATACCACAGACCCGAGCAAATACCGCCCCATCACGTGTCTACCCACCATATATAAGACACTGACATCCATTTTGAGCGCGAGAATCACTCGTCACTTGGAGCTAAATTAGGTGATGTCACGCGCTCAAAATGGATGCCGGGGCGGTGGTCATGGAACCAAAGAATCACTCTTCATTGACGTGGTCATTGGCAAAGTGTTTAAAGCAACCGTCAGAACTTCTCCACTGCCTGGATAGACTACAGAAAGGCATTCGACTCGGTGCCCCATACATGGCTAAAGAGAGTCCTCCAGCTGTACAAAATTGACTGTACAGTTGGAGACTTCCTCGAGCAGTGTATGGCGCAATGGAGTACGATCGTTTGCTATCTGGGCGAGCGGATGATGGCTGCGGAGAACCACATAAGGATAAGAAGGGGTATCTTCCAGGGCGATTGTCTGAGTCCAATCTGGTTTTGCCTCTCCCTAAACCCTCTCAGTACTTTACTGGAGGGCTCCGGGAGGGGATTTCAGCTTCGGAGAGGAGGTACAAAAGTGACCCACCTTTTCTATATGGATGACCTCAAGTTATTCGCCTCCAGTCGCTCCCATCTTATGGAATTGCTAAACATCACTTGTGAATTTAGCAATTCTATTGGAATGGAGCTGGGAACGGATAAGTGTGCGGTCCTCCATGTTGAAAGGGGGAGGGTTGCTAACTCTGAGGGCATAGACCTATCTATGCCCGTCGACTTAAGGACCCTTTCCGATGCTGAAACATACCGATACCTGGGTATGTCACAGAACATCGGTATCGATGAGGCTGGTATGAAACAGTCAGTTTGCGACGTGTTTTATGCACGCTTGGCCAAAGTGCTTAACAGCCTTTTGTCCGGTGTGAATAAGACACACGCATATAACGGCTGGGTCATGCCTGTCCTCATGTATACCTTTGGCATACTCAGGTGGACTCAGACTGAACTTAACGCCCTGGATAGAAAAGTCCGCACTACCATGACGTCCCACAGGATGCATCATCCGAGATCGTCGGTAATGAGGCTGTACTTGCCGCGAAAGCATGGTGGGCGTGGCTTCTTGAGCGCGCTCACCATGCATAATCGCGAAGTGTGCAGCCTCCGTAATTACTTCCTGGCGAGATCGGATGATCCATTCTATAAGGACGTCATTTCTAGTGATAAAGGACTTACCCCTCTATCCTTAGCCAACGAGCAATGGCAAGACCCGGCAGTGCAGACAATTTCCGACCGGGAGAACGTATGGAAGGAGAGGGAGCTCCACGGGAGGTTCTACAAGGCTCTACATGAGCCTTTCGTAGACACAGTAGCCTCCCTCCACTGGCTACGCTTTGGTGATCTCTTCGGGGAAACCGAGGGTTTTGTCTGTGCAATACAGGATCAGGTTATTAAGACCAACAACTATCGGAGATACATCCTAAAGGATGGCACCGTGGACATCTGTCGAGCTTGTCGCCATCCCGGTGAGTCACTTAGGCATGTCATCTCCGGTTGTTCGGCGCTTTCTAACTCTGAGTACTTGCACAGGCACAACCTAGTAGCCAGAATTCTTCACCAGGAGCTCGCTCTGAAATACGGTCTCGTATCTCGGAAATTGCCGTATTACAAGTACTTGCCGGAAGCCGTGCTCGAAAATGATCGCGCCAGGCTCTATTGGGACCGGGCCATTATCACAGACAGGACTATTCTTGCGAATAAGCCTGATATTGTGCTGATGGACCGGGCACAGTCAAGGATATTTTTGGTCGACATTACCATTCCGTATGACGAGAACCTCGTGAAAGCCGAAACAGACAAGCAAACAAAATATCTGGACCTGGCTCACGAGGTGACTGACATGTGGGGTGGTCTGCCGACCGAAATTATTCCTGTAGTCGTCTCTGCAAACGGGCTAATCCCAGTCAGCCTCTCGGGTCATCTGAGGCGGCTGGGACTACGTGGCGGACCGCTCCAGGCTCAAATGCAGAAGGCGGTGCTCCTCGATACCGCCCGCATCGTCCGCCGGTTTCTTTCCCCTTTCCCCTAACCCTCGGCCGTTTGGTCTCCCCTGCCGAGGGCCTCCATCTGGTTGGGCTTTTATTTATTTATGTATTTTTATATTTATTTTATGTTATTGATATATATATATATATTTATCTTTTCATTTTCATTTATAATTATATATTTATAGAACCTAACCAGATGAGAAAACTATATAGATGCGCAACAAACTGCATATGTGGATGGTGCCGTCAACATTCCATTTGTGGCTAATTCAGACGATGATGGAATAGTCTCCCACGAACTAGAGAAAATGAGGAGCATATTGGAAGAGTCGATGCTGGAAACGCGCAGCATGCCTCTCGAAAATCGACCTCGAATTCCACGCATACCCCTTAGAAAGCGAAATCGGGCTGTCGTGCGGGTTCTTAACCCAATGCTGGTGACCTATTTGGAAGCCAGCCGGGACCTTTGCGAGACGGATTGAATTCTTTTTTAGCGCCGCACTGGCAGTATGCCGTATTATTGGCGCCAAACATCTCGTGGCTGGACGTGCTACTCAAAAAGTAGCGCCATCCCAGCCTGGAGAAAAAGAATTGAGGACCGTATCGCAAAGGCAAGGGCCCTTATCGGCAGACTGACAAGCTTCAGGTCGGGTAATAATAGACCGAGGATTATGCGCACCGTTAGGATGGTGTTTGCTGGGACAAATATCAGTTTGTTCCAGCCGGATATCACGCAAAAACTAACGGAGCGCATAGATGACCTGAAGCAAAAAATCGCTGCTTGGGGGGAAGCGGATTCGACGATTTAGCGAGAGATCAAGGCGGTTCAACCAGAATCGTCTCTTCCAGAGTGATCAGAAGAGGCTCTATAAATCATTGGAGCGACAAGAGGTATGTGGAGCGGGCCCAGGACCGGATCAGGCTGACACTGTCGCATTTTGGCGTGGCCTGTGGTCAGAGCCCGTAAACCACAGCGAGGGCCCTTGGATGGAAGTTCTGGCGAGCCAGAGTGCAAGCGTTACGCCTATGGACCCCGTCACCATAACGCCTGAAGACGTGGCTGAGGCGGTCCGTAGGGCCCCAAACTGAAAAAGTCCGGGGCTCGACGGGCTGCAACATTACTGGCTGAAGGGGTTCGTAGTGTGTCACGCTGTGCTCACCCGACAGTTTCAAGAGGCTCTCGATCAGAAGTCACTCCCGAGCCTCTTCACTACTGGGATCACTCATTTGGTTCCTAAAGATCAGGATACCACAGACCCGAGCAAATACCGCCCCATCACGTGTCTACCCACCATATATAAGACACTGACATCCATTTTGAGCGCGAGAATCACTCGTCACTTGGAGCTAAATTAGGTGATGTCACGCGCTCAAAATGGATGCAGGGGCGGTGGTCGTGGAACCAAGGAACCACTCCTCATTGACGCGGTCATTGGCAAAGTGGTGAAACGCAACCGTCGGAATTTCTCCGCCGCCTGGATAGACTACAGAAAGGCATTCGACTCGGTGCCCCATACATTGCTAAAGAGAGTCCTCCAGCTGTACAAAATTGACTGTACAGTTAGAGACTTCCTCGAGCAGTGTATGGGATAATGGAGTACGATCGTTTGCTATCTGGGCGAGCGGATGATGGCTGTGGAGGACCACATAAGGATAAGAAGGGGTATCTTCCAGGGCGATTGTCTGAGTCCAATCTGGTTTTGCCTCTACCTGAACCCTCTCAGTACTTTACTGGAGGGCTCCGGGAGGTGATTTCAGCTTCGGAAAGGAGGTACAAAAGTGACCCACCTTTTCTATATTGATGACCTCAAGTTATTCGCCTCGAGTCGCTCCCATCTTATGGAATTGCTAATCATCACTTGTGAATTTAGCAATTCTATTGGAATGGAGCTGGGAACGGATAAGTGTGCGGTCCTCCATGTTGAAAGGGGGAGGGTTGCTAACTCTGAGGGCATAGACTTATCTATGCCCGTCAACTTAAGGACCCTTTCCGAGGCTGAAACATACCGATACCTGGGTATATCACAGAACATCGGTATCGATGAGGCTGGTATGAAACAGTCAGTTTGCGACGTGTTTTATGCACGCTTGACCAAAGTGCTTAACAGCCTTTTGTCCGGTGTGAATAAGACACACGCATATAACGGCTGGGTCATGCCTGTCCTCATGTATACCTTTGGCATACTCAGGTGGACTCAGACTGAACTTAACGCCCTGGATAGAAAAGTCCGCACTACCATGACGTCCCACAGGATGCATCATCCGAGATCGTCGTTAATGAGGCTGTACTTGCCGCGAAAGCATGGTGGGCGTGGCTTCTTGAGCGCGCTCACCATGCATAATCGCGAAGTGTGCAGCCTCCGTAATTACTTCCTGGCGAGATCGGATGATCCATTCTATAAGGACGTCATTTCTTGTGATAAAGGACTTACCCCTCTATCCTTAGCCAACGAGCAATGGCAAGACCCGGCAGTGCAGACAATTTCCGACCGGGAGAACGTATGGAAGGAGAAGGAGCTCCACGGGAGGTTCTACAAGGCTCTACATGAGCCTTTCGTAGACACAGTAGCCTCCCTCCACTGGCTACGCTTTGGTGATCTCTTCGGGGGAAACCGAGGGTTTTGTCTGTGCAATACAGGATCAGGTTATTAAGACCAACAACTATCGGAGATACATCCTAAAGGACGGCACCGTGGACATCTGTCGAGCTTGTCGCCATCCCGGTGAGGCATGTCATCTCCGGTTGTTCGGCGCTTTCTAACTCTGAGTACTTGCACAGGCACAACCTAGTAGCCAGAATTCTACACCAGGAGCACGCTCTGAAATACGGTCTCGTGGATCAGAAA